GAAATAACAACATAAATAAATGAGAACAAGCTAACTCAGTCGCATAAGTATGCTCTTATTATCCGCTCCCTTTTGCACTTGGCAGACAAGGAACGATGATAGGATTAATAATAAAAAGAGAATCTTATCTCCTCTTTTGCTTTTCCCGTGTTATTCGCAGGAGATGGGATCTGGGTCGGTGACTGAATACAAAAACTTCTTGAGTAATTGTAGATCTTTCTGCAACTCAGGTGTCATGGTTGGTGTAGGCATGTCGAATCAGCTTTGCTTTTGCTTTGCTTGTACGACAGAAGGTAGCCAACAAAGCGGTTGCTGAAGACATAAGTGTGGGGGATGCCCTCATTGGTTTCGTCGTCGGAGTTGTTTTTGGAGGACTTGACTCCGGTGATAATGCGTGGGAGGCTTCATATGCACGTCGTCGTCTATAAGAACACCACTGCCTTCTGCCAATTTTAGACTCCCTTGCCTCCGCCGGACATATCTTCTCCGAGCAGAAGCTTTGCAAACCGCTCATTCATCAATTCAACTTCAGACAACTTGGTCTGGGTTTTCTCCGTTATCGACGGCGGAAGGACGACACGTCGTCCACCTACTGCCGGCAAAACAAACGGCATGGGTGGCTGTGCCGACAAGAAAAGCCACTGGAGCTTTTGGACTCACTGACGTCGGCACTCCAGCTGTAACTTGTCGAAGCGCTCGCTCAACCGCAAAGCTCCGTAGGCCGATACCTTTTGTCTCCGATGTCAAAGAAACGCAAGACCCAGAAGACGCCTTGTCTCTCTTCCACGAGTACCACCAAATGGGCTTCAAACACGACTACCCTTCTTACTCTGCTCTTCTCTACAAGCTCGCTCGCCGCCGGAATTTCGAAGCCGTCGACGCCGTTCTCAGCCTTGTCCGAGATCGAAACATTCACTACAAAGATACCCTTTCACTGCTTTGTTTCAACATTACGGGAAAGCCGATTTGGTAGAGAAGGTCGTCGATCTTTTTCATCAAATGCCTTCTTTTAACTGTGTCCGTACGTTGCAGTGCTTCAATGAACTCCTTAATGTGCTTGTTGATGGCGGTAGGTTTTCAGATGCGGATGAGATATTTGGGAGGTGTTCTACATTGGGTTTTCGTCCGAATTCGATTTCGTATAATATAATGATCAAGGGGTGGCTTCAGAAGGACGACTGGGAAGAAGCATGGAAGGTGTTTGATGAAATGCTTGAGAAAAAGGTGCAACCTAGTGTTGTGACGTATAATAGTCTTATAGGTTTTTTCGGTAGAACGGGTGAGTTGGAGAAAGCTACTGGTTTGTTTGAGGACATGAGACAGAAAGGGAAATACCCAAATGTGGTAACATATGCATTATTGATGGAAGGTTTGTGCTTGGCGGGGAAGCATAATGAAGCAAAGAAGATAATGTTTGATATGGAGTATCGAGGTTGTAAACCACGTCTTGTGAATTATGGTGTATTGATGAGTGATCTTGGAAAGAGAGGGAAAACTGAGGAGGCAAAGTCTTTCCTTCAGGAGATGAAGAAGAGGCGGTTTAAGCCGAATGTTGTGATTTATAACGTATTGATTAACTTTCTGTGCAAGGAAGGCAGGGCTGCAGAGGCTTACAAAGTCTTGGTTGAAATGCAAGTTGGAGGCTGTGAGCTGAATGCAGCTCCTTTCAGGATGATGGTTGATGGGTTTTTGCAGATTCACGGTGGGGGTGAAAATTTGAGAGAGAATCGACATAACTTTTCGTGTCGATTCCCACAGACGGCGCCAAATGTTGATGCACAAAATCGGAGGTCTTAGAACAACGTAAATCTGACTGTGAATCTGCAAAAAATGTAAATAACAGAAGATGTATCGCGGTTCACCCCAAGGTTTGGGCTACGTCCACACTGATATTCTATTTATCTGAGAGGTGAGGGAGAGAATGTGAGAGCCTCTGTAATGAGAGTGAGGCTTTGAGAGGGGTGAGAGGACCTAGGAATTGGCCTTCCCTAATTGTGAGGGTGAGGAGTCCTTTTATAGAATAAGGGATCCTCACTTATTACATATTTGCCTATTCTTTTATTACATAATTACATTTAAGTCCCCTGAGTATTTATATGAGATCTAAATATGAAGGCCCTAAGTATGGTACAAACACACCTCTTTACCCTAATCATTAACTTCTATTAATTTCCAACTTCCACCTCAACCTATCTAGAGTAGTGACTAACTCCTCCTGTTTATTCTCTAATGGTTGCCAAACGCCACTTAGCCTAGTGAGAAAAATAAAGCCAAACTCATCATAATCTCCTTCTCCAACTCAAACTAAAAATATCTCTAATTACATATGAACATGAAATACTACTAGCTAGTTTTTGAAATAATTTGTAGTAAAAAGGATTTTACATTGAAACTATTTTACATATCGAAAGTAGGTTCTTGCATAAAATAAATCTAATAAAATCATTACGTAAAAATAATTACCCAACATACACCCATATATATATATAACCATTTTTTTTAAATATGGGGTATTACATGCACATACTGCTTGAATAAGGAATGAGCACTCTCCGTACCTTGACTGTTGGACATTCTGGCAGAAAAAGCATGCTTACAAAATGCGGGAACCCAATTTGCACGCAATCCATAAATGTCTTCAAGCCTAAGTTTATGTTCTTATACCAACGTCTTCCACTTCACCTCGAAATCTTTCTTGTTTCAATATCATGCAAATTCTTTAAAATGCGCTCAACCCAACATTTTTCCTTGAATTTGTTAATAATATACCATATGCAGCACCAATGAAACGTTTGCTGCCAATCACCTTTTCTATAGCACCATCTTGTTCCGTAGTTATCACTTTCAACGGCTTGCCAACATAGCAGTAAGGAATTCTTCAAACTAAACCATTCAAAGCTCTCGGTCTTTTCATTTTTTAGGAATCCAATACCGTGGTTCGGCCATGGTTATTCACTCTTAACAAAGGAGCAAACATTATCCCACATTGAGGTTGAACGTAGTATCAAACACAATCATATCATCAAAATAGCCATAACCACATCTTGACTTAACATTGCCCAAAAGAAATTGCCAAGTATTCCAGCTTCGTCAATCTCCAAATTGTTTTCCTCTTTCTCATCCTCAAAATGCTTAAAGAGCATTTTTGCATCATGCTTGCTTAGATGAGCTCGCAGTTGTTGTTCGGAATTATACATATCCTTAGGGGTGCATTCAATATTTCTAATTCCTCCACTTTTCATCTCCAATAAACTCACTTGTTTACTTTTGGAAATATTTGCATGCACACATTGTTCAATCATCACCTTCTTTACCTTGTTTAACCTGACGATGAGATCTAAATAAGTGTGCAGCATTTGCCACAAGGTGGTTGTGTTCTTCACTGAAAACTGATGCGACAAAGTTATCACGACCAATTGGGTTCAACAGCGCAACTTTTAGTTTTCAGTCACTTCTACTATCTCCCCACTTACCATTCTGATTCGGTTTGGGATTAGCACCCACCTTGTTTTTGCCTTGTTTGCAACAAACAAAATCCTTCATTACCAAATAATCACCATCACTGTCATTTTTATTATTATGTTCATGAACCCGAAAACCAGATGCAAGTGCATAATTATTGTAAAAAATGTACCCTTAATCCAACGAATAAAACTTCATATTCAAATTGAGTTTCAACTCATCGACTATATTTGGTACCACAAATTCAGCCTCCCTGCACTAAATTTATCTCCTGCATCTACATCCTCACTTTCTTCTATACTTTCTTCTATTTCGAACTTATCCACCATTGAAATCGTATTCAATAACTTGCTGCTTCAAGGGTATACAAATGCAACAACTTATCAGAACCCAGCACAAGTTTTACCTGTATATATATCCAAAATTGAACTTGAGGATTTTCACGATATCCAGTTGTAACCACTTTGGAATAAAAATTTCCAAAATAAAAAGCATCTTACAAACGCACCCGAAATAGATTTTCAAAACAAAAGACTTGGATCTTAATCTAAAAGGGGAACAGAAAGGTGGAGGCTGCAAAACTTCATGCAAAACTTTTTCCTCCTGAAATCGCCTCCTCTCACCCTCCAATCGCCTTCTGAACACTTCATGTCTCTGACAAAAAATAAAAAATCACCCACTGAACAAAAAAACGGTGTATTGAATAACACCGGGTCCTAAAGACTCGGTTCTACAGGTGAGCTCGCCTTTTCTTAGCGGCAAATCATAGTCTGCACGGATAGTCCGCGCTAATGGACACCATGTTAAACACGCCCAAAAGGTTTTAACCCAAACAAAAAAACAAGCAAAAAAGCTCCACAGATGTTCAAGCGTGACTAGTAGAGAAAAACCTAGAAGCCTAGGTGATGGATGTTCCACAACGGATTTAGATCCTCTCTTGAGCTTATGGAGAGGATCCTCTTGATCAAGACACTTGGGCCGTTGGATGAAAATCCAACGGCTACAAACAGGAGATTCCCTTTTAAGTTATAATAATTATAACTGTTGAATTTTCATCCAACGACCCACATGCCTTGATCAGGAGAATCCCTAATTAAGCTCAGGGAGGATCCAAATCCGTTCCGCAACAGCTTCCCAGAATCCAAAAGCAGCCGACAACCCGTACTGCCAGCTCAGCACCACAATTAACTAGAATCCAGAGGAGATGGATAGATCATGCATAGTGAGGACGTTTATGTTGTTTTGTATTTTTTATTACAACCAATATCATATGCTAATCTACGCTAAGAGGAGCAAGAAAGAAGGATTTGAACCCAAAACACAACGGATTAAAGAGGACAGGCTAACCACCAGATACTTGCATTGAGAACTAATTTTTAGTACAAAGGATATTGATGAACTAAATACATCTAGGGAGATAGAGAGGGTACATATGGTAGATCAAGATGATAATTAACCAAACCCAGAAAACACATTCACAAATAAACCCAAAAAGATAAATAGAGAGAGAGAGAGAGAGAGAGAGAGAGGCCATGACCTTTCGACATCCATGATTTTCCAAGAATCTAGCATGATCTATGAAACCAATGCAAACAGTGTTATTAGACATCACATATATCTAGGTTACAAAATGCTTTACAGTGAGCAACCGACAAACACAAGGCAACAACCAAGTGTATTCACTTAATCTAATCTGCAAAGGTATACAATGGAATAAAACTTGGATCAAATACATGAACTCAAGTTACAGAAACCATAGAGGACACACACCTACTGCAAAAACCAAATAAGATGACATCCTCCATCCTCCAAAACACCTTGTGCCTTTTTCAAAGTATAAGCTGTATTACAAATCCCAGCTTCAATCTTGTGGGATCACTGTTGCGAATGATCAACTTCCCTGTTTAGGGCTTGGCTTACTTCCAGACCCCTCTTCTTCTATCTTCTTTCAAATCACTGGGGACGATAGACACAGAATCCACGCATAGCCCACCTTTCGAATGTGTGCAATCAATCTGTTTCATGGAAAACTTAATTTCTGTTACTGGATCTGTATCGGTGACAGTAAATTCACCAACCTTGTACTCAACCCAGCATCCACGCTTATGGTTTCCATATGCATCCTCATGTTCAATTTCATCCAAGCAGCATTCATATGATGCTTGCTGTCCATCTGAAGTCGACAACTCAAATCGCATGGGCTTTAAATCCCAACCATGGGTGTGCTCAAAATTGCAGACACGTCGTCCCAATCTTTTTGAGAATCTTCCAATGTGAAGCCTGAAAGACAAAGTGTAGATATCAGCAGGAAATGGGAACTTCACCACCCCATCTACTTCAAACCACCATATTTGCTGTAAATACGCCACCACCTGAAACCTGCAAATAAAGAACAGAGCATGCAGATCATCAACATCTATAAAATATAATACATCCTAATGCTGAGAAAAAAAATGAAGAAATAATGAATTGACAAAATAATGAATTGACAGTAAGCTGGCATAACTTGCAATCAATGTTTTAATTATGATAACTGACCCAAAAGAGATTTATGAACATACATTGCTGTAAAAGTATTAAAACACAATAGTTAGTTGATGTAATGAGATCAAAGGTGGCAGCCCCAGTCACAGAAAAGCATAAGCTAATCTCTCTGACATGTGAGAACTACATTGGCAATTCTGATTCCACACAAGAAACTAGTACGAGAAATAAACCACTGCAGAAAGAAACGCACTAATTACTAGTGCATTCCATAGTGACAAAGTGGTTCACCCTTTTCAGTTTGACATAGGCCAACCAAGATTCTCCACTGACCTTGAGGAGTTTCTAATTGTCCGTATAGAGTGTAGACCCTTTGTAAACATTATTATACATAGATAAGACGGAATTTGAGCGAATAAGTGGAACATTCTACTGCCATGATTAACCTTGATTTCTTGAAGACCCTGACTTAGAACAACTCTGTCAAGACCAACTAAAATTTCATTGATGTTTTGTAGTTTAGACTTTTAGGCTCTGAACTTTTAAACCTCCAGTTTTACCTAGATTACATTCCTTATTTGGTAGTGCACTATCCAGTGAACTATATATTAGTACATACACAATATATCTAATATTAAGTAAGGTAGCGAGAGGCAAGTGTGTTTCTAGTAAAGCAGAACTCAGTTACTACCAAATATAGGAAATATTGTACATTAGCTGACAACAAAACTTAATTTCCAACTGCAACTTAACAATTGCATTTGTTCTCTCCTCGATTGAAACTATAGCTAGCCCTTTTCATAAAGATAAACAGTTTCATTTTTGAGAAAAATAAAGATTATAACATACAGGTCTTGAAATTAGGTTCTCCAACCAGCTGAAAACAAAGATAGGAATTTATTTTGGGTTTACTGATGTACAAGTGTATGCAAATCAGAAATTCGCTACAAAAACTATGAAATGAAACATATACCCCAGAAAAAAACAATAACTCCTTAGCAGTTGGGCGCAATAAAATCAGTTACAGAACGTGTTGAATATAGAACAACATGAAAAAAATGGCATCACCTGCTTATCTGACTTTTTATACATGTATTTTTCTAAAGGATAAACACGTGCAGGTTTTAGGCATAAATTCATTCAACTTTGAGAATTCAAAGCTAGAAAGACATCTTAGACCCCCAGTGTAGTAATTAGAATAATGACGTTAAGTAACCCTCCCAATGTACAGAAGTACAATGATAGAGAGGTGGACCATAGTATTCAACCTGACATGCCATACACTATGTAATTATATCAGATGACCAATTAACTAACAGCACCAAGCCAGTCACAAACAAGATAATATAGAGAAGCGTGTTCAAGTATAAAACAACCAAGCAAGGATATATTTTGCTACAACAACAAAGAGAATTAACCAACAATACAGACTTCTATAAAGATAAAATTTTTATTCTTTCATGCATCCTCAACATTTGCATCAAATATATGTCAAACCCGATAATGACATAGTTCACCAGACTCCAGTCCACAAAATTAGCACATGCACTAATTATAGAATGAATTGCACCTACTGAAGCCTAATCTTAACCTGTGAGTGATCTGCTCTCACATAAGAAAAGCGTCCATAGTACCATAAGATACTACCATATCTTCCCTGCACAAAATTTTCTTCACCTTCTTGATAAATGTAGTATCATTTCATAACATGTGGGAGACAAATTTGCATGCAACTGGCATATAATACAATGTTAGTAGGAAAACCTACAAGACCATACTCGTGTGAGCCAAAATTCTGTTTAGCACTCAACTGATGTTCACCATGTGTTCAATCATTTGAGATGGATGCCATGACTGTCTATTCAGATTAAATTTTGTGCGACTAAGACATCACCTAGTTGGCAACCATTTACAAATAGATGCCTCAATCCCTCCTCGCCAAATTTTCTAACAAGTTATTAGAGAATGAAAAAAGAACCTAAAAGACAAGAAAGTGTCCTGATGAAACAAAAGATATAAACATCTTTCCAGCACGAATATCAGTTCCTTAAGAATTTCTGATTTCTCCTCTTATTTGGTTAATATAACTCCTTAATTATCACTAAACAAAAAAACTTGACTGAATGAGCAGAAGCTCAATTAAATTTGCAAAGCCTAAAAAGTACTCCCAAACAAAGAAAGGAAAAAACTATGTATATCAAAAGCACAAACTAGTAGATGATAGATAATTAGCTAACCTAGATTCTTCAGTAGGAATCCAGTTCCAGTATCGCCTATCTTCGATCCCAGTTATCGCCATCCCCTTGGCAGAAACCGACATGCAAACCCTCCCTGTGACCCTGTCTATCCACACTACCTGCAAAACACACCAAACACATCAAAAAAAAAATGAACAAATTCAGATATCACCAAACCCAAAACCCTAAATTGCAAAATTACCCCAAGACAATCAACCCAAAACCCTAATTCCCAATCACAAACAAACAACCCACCTTATTGCCATCGTCGAAGGGTACAGGGCGGGAGAGCATAGCAAAGATGTCCTTTTTAGAGAGATTTTGGTACCTCTGAGGAGGCACCAAATCGAGTAGATCATGGTAATTTGGGGGCAACTTGGATTCCCAAACCGAATCAGACGACGCCGCACCGCGAAACGCCCTGTTGAGCCTCGCAAGATTGCAAATCTCAGGCGGAGTCAGGTACATGAAGACGCAGGCCACACAGCTCTCCGGTATGTCGCCAAGACCCGGTCCATGACCAGACCCGTTCGCCCCCTCCGTCAGGTTCGAGAGCGAAGCCCCCATATCCTCTCCTCCTAGATTTCACTGTATTTACAGAGACTGTTGTGCTCCAATCAGGTCATGGCGTCCAACGCAGATATGTTTGTAAGGCGGAGAATCGAAGAAATGGATGGGTGGGTTTTCTTAGGGTTTTGAGGAAGATGGTGGGGGTTGTGTGGCGATTTGGAGTGTTTGGTTAGTGAGAAAGTGTAGTGGAAAATTCTAGCATGGGTTTTTGGGTTTGTGATGGGTTTTCTCGTCAATCATATTTTCCGGGAAAATTTTGCAAGGTGGGGAAGTCAGGGAAAGTTGGAAGGGACGGAGGAGCTGAGGGGAGGGAGGGAGGATGCAATTTCGCTCCCCACCATTAATTACTTACCGTGTAGTGTATTACAACCCATATTTTTTTTATTACGTTATATTTAGATGGATATTGTTTTTATTCTTGTATATTGCTGGACGATGATATCTCCGCTTAGTTGTGTTTATATATATATATTAATGATAAAAATTAAAACTGAAAAAAAAAATCTGGAAAATTAAAAATAAAATTTAAAAATGGAATAAACCCTAACTAGTTGTAATCATGAAAACAAACTACTTTGAGCCAATAACAAAAACAATGAAATCTCTTCTTAATTTGCTAATGGAGTCTGCAAAGCTTGGATGAGATTGTTGCTGAAAGTCTCCCTACTATCTACAAAAAAATCAACATTAGGTAAGCAAAACACAATCCTATATTCGTTATTATTGTTCACATATGTAGATAGATTAATCAGGTTTTTGCAATTTTTTTTTTCATTTTGTCAGTTCATGAGTTGATGATTTTTCTACCCATTTGGTGCCCTTGTATCATTGTTGGCCTATGAATTTGGTCAATATGTTCCAATTCTTCAAGCAGTTCTAGGGTTTTCTCTAGCCATGAGTTAATTAATACTCTCCAGTAAAACACCAAATCTATTAAAAAAATATGAGAAAAGAACTACTTTGAGTCTACATTGTAGAAGCATTAAAAAAATCGTTAATAAAAAAAATTGCAGTTGACTGAATATGGACCTTTGGATCCATGTCATTTAATGGATTCCTTTAAACCTGCAGATGACTTTTGTGATTACAAAAAAACCATGATTTAAGATCCTGTGGTGGAATCTCTTAGGATTTAGGTCCAAAATTAAAAATTATGTCAACTCTCCATTAGTCATACATATTAGGCTAAAACGGAACTCTCCATTAAATGTTAGCACGTGGAGCTTATATGTGAGACTAACTTTATTTTTTTAGTTTCACATGTGAACCTCATGTACTAATAATTAACAGAGACTAGACAGAATTTATAATTTTAGGCCTAAATCCTAACATAATTCACCTCATGGTCTTAAATCCTAATTTTTTTTTACCACACGGCTTATCTTCTAAGGGTTTGCTTGGCATTGCTGTGCTTTTAAAAAATTTAAAATTTAAAAATTTAAAAAATAAAAAATAAAAAAGTTGTTTCTAATGTGTTGTGAGAATAAATAGCTGTAAAATAAAGTTGTTGAGTGTTTGGTAAACTTTATCTGAGTATTTGGTAAACTTTTATATAAATGATAGGAGCATATTTATGCGACTTAGTTAACTTGTTTTCTTGCATTTTCGTAGTTAGTTTCTACTTATTATAATGTTTTAAGCTATTTTCGTGTGTTTATAAGTCCAAATGACAAAGTTGGCAAGAAAGTGCATTTTGGAACATTTTAGAGCAGTTTTGGGCTGGAATGGATAACTTACGTATGGAGCAAGATGGATGGACGAATTTGAAGACCAAAGATGTCGAGAAATGTGCTAAAGAGTTGAAGAAATAAATCCAAGACAAAGAAGATAAGGAATCAGCTCAAAAGAAGGAATATTATCCAAAACCTTATCCGACCTTATCTTATCCAAACAAACCTTATCTTATCCTATCCTAATCTTATCATGCCTTAAATCCAGCTGTGAGGGGACCTAAATACCTGATTTCTAGAAGTCTTATATGTTCCTACATTGGTGCCACATGTTTTAGGCCTTGTTCTTCTATTAATCAGCCACATAACACTTCTTCTAGAATTCCCTACAAATATGGCGACTCCCCCTCTTCTAGAAGCTCTAGAACCTGCAATCCTTTTCCTTTTGGATTTTTGCCAAACCCTAGTCCTTTTCCCTTTTGAATTAGGTCGAATTTATCCCCTTCCTTGCAGGAATTTGTGTTGTGTAACTCTAGCCTAATTCCCCTTGGTTTCTGATTGTTTTAACCCATTCCACTTGGGTTTTGGTTACACAATCCTATTCCTACTCAGCCTTATGCCATGCTTAGCCTATAAATACGTCATTCTGTACAAATCAGATCACCAACCCCATATTCATTCTACACCACACATACAAGAGCCAAAACATCAGAAAATACATACTTGTGCGTAGATTTGCAAGGAAGGAAGGAGATGAGACCCTTGGAGTCATGCCTTGCCATTTAAGCTTGGATTGCTGGACGTTCCTAGGTGTATTCTATCCTTAGTTTTAGTTCAATGTTTGTTTTAATTTGGTTTTATGTTTTCAAAGACATGAGGAACTAATTTCTTTTTAGTTAGAGGTGAATTCGAAGCCATTATTATATGTTTTATATGAATTGATTACATCCAATTATTGTTTCTTGACTCTTGAATGTGATTTTCGTATCTGAGTTATTAAAACTTGTTTATGTATGTTGATTGAGGATGCATACTTAGTTTGCATGCATGAACTTGATGCTAGAGTATAAAGGAGTTTCACCTAATCGTTATGAACTTATATTCACAAATAGTGGAAGTCACTAGTCATGATTGTGTTAAGTAAATCCTTGGCAGGAATATCATGCTTTTCATAGTTACGAATGCCTCAGCAATGCTTATGGTTTTCAAAGAACTTAATGACCTTTGATATGTTTTTCTATCATGCTTTTCATAGTTAGGGAATTTGAGAAGGATAATTTGGTTGTGATGCGTATCCCGTCCAATTCAATGAGTTAAGGAAAATCTGATGGTTAATTTGTGATGTCACGGTTAACTTGGGGTGTTGTCATTCATAGTCTAAGGGAACAATACTGGAAATTGGTTTATATGCATATGTCATGTGTGGAGAATGATCATCTGGCTAAGTTTTCACCATTCAAATCACCTAATTTACTTTGTTTTGCAATCTGTTTAGTTTAGTTAAATTTCGTCCAAATCAATCCCCATTTTAATTAAGTGTCTTAGATTAGTTAGAAAAGTGTTTAAATCTATCCAATTTAGTGTTTTGAGTCTTACTAGTCTTAAATTCGTCCAAATAGCTCCCTAGAGTCCGTTTTGAGTCTTTTTAACTTAGTTTTACTGTTTTGAGTGTTTTGAGTCTGTTTTGAGTCTATAGAGTCTAGTTTAATGTTTTTTAGTCTTATTTGTGTTGATTAGCAGCCCTAGTTAATCCCCAGTCTAGAATGATCCATACTTGCTTAATACTACAATTACATGTGTTGATGCACAAAATCAGCGTGGACTTTGGTACAACAGAAAGTGTCAGGTTTGTGACCTTCACTTGGTTGCTTCGATCACTAGTGAAGATAAGTACATAAATGAATAGGGACAGGGAAGCAAACACAAGCTGTACGTGGTTCACCCAGATCGGCTACGTCCACGGAGTAGAGGAGTTCTCATTAATTGTGAAGGGTTTACACAAATACATAGGTTCAAGCTCTCATTTTGTGAGTTCTAATGAATAGTTTAGTACAAAATGACATTAGAGATTATTGTGGGAGAATGATCCCTATTTATAGAAGAGAGTTTCTAGTTTTGTTCTAACATTGACACGTGTTGTGTTGTGATTGGCTTCTGATGTTGACACGTGTCGAGCTGTGATTGGCTTCTGATGTCGACACGTGTCGCATTGTGATTGGCCTCCTGGTTGAAGGGAAGCTCTTCTGGGTCCTTGACGGTATAACGTTGATCGGTGCTCAGTAGTTTCGGGATTGGTCAAGTATGGTACAAACAGTGCTCCCCTAAGTTCCCGAGTGAGGGAAGCTCCTTGGTTGGGGACTTGCAAGATCCAAGCCATTGAGTAATCACGAAACTTCTAAGTACTGAAGTGTGGTATCATTTTCACGTGCCTTATCTGTCTCATATGTAGATGTGGCATCTTCTCTGGAAGTACTTTTCCTCCATCCATGGGTGGTATCTTTAACCGATGAAGATGCACAAGGTAATGTATCAATTTCACTTGAAGCTTACTTGTAGTTTCAGCTTGGTCAAGTGCGATACAAACCCTATAGTAGAAGTCCCCCAAGTCGCCGAGCTAGGAGATCTACCGAAAGAGGTGACAGACAAGGTAAGCAGTCAAACTTCCAAGCAAGCAACCCAGGATCGGAGGTTCGGCTTCGGCTTCCGGTTGATTGTTCTCCTTCTCCTTGTCTCTCATTCAGCTGCCAGGATAAGGAGAAGCAAATGGAGAAGAGATGATATGAGATACTTTTGCTTTTGAAGAAGTAACTTTCCACAGGCTTATTCTTGAACTGTGCTGGAGGGTTTTCTGGTTCCCTTCAGAGTATAAGGCCGACTCAAGAATTTGAGGGTCAAAACAAGTCCATCAAATCTAGAGTACGTTCGACCTTGATGATATGGGATACTTTTGCCGTTGACGGAATAATGAATGTGGTATGGAAAGGTGTCGTGCTGTAGTGATCTGTTTCAGCTCACCGTTGAACCTTCTGCTTCAATCTTTTGCATGGCAGAAGTGGTGTGCAACCTTTGCATTTAAATGGTCCTTCAGAACATTCCTTCATAGTGACTCATCCACGTTTGGCAGCTTCATTGTAAAGAGCCAATATCTGATCAACTGTCATGAGGTATGTGCCGGTGGAATTCATGACCTTGACAGCAGTTGAGGATGAGTTCTCGAGAGCAATGCTAAGTAAGCAACCAGGCAAAGGTCTCAGGCAGTCAGTTCCAGATTGGAGGTTTGATTTCAGGTTCCGACTGACTGCTCTCTTTCTCTTTGTCCTGCAGGTGTGGACAAGGACGAAGACAAGGACAGGGAGAAAGCATGATATGGGATACTCTTGCTTTTGACCTTGATGATATGAGATACTCTTGTTCTTGGTGTGGCTTATTTGCTGAGGTATTATCGGGGGGAAATAAAGCTGAGTATTTCGAGAGGTTATGTTGAGGGTGCATTCTCGAATGCGAGAAAGGGTTGAGTATTTTTGCAGGTTTGCCTGTCCGTTGAGGAGGGAGGTCGATGTATATAGGGATTTCCCAATAACAAGTAGTAATGCTATTCCTTTACCCTTCTTGGTCACAGCAATGTAGTGGGAGCTGCCAGCTTCACGTGTTTTAACTTTGTCAGAGCACTTTGAAAAAGTGGCATGTGGTATCTAAAAG